TAGCAGAGAAAAAAGAGGTAGGCGCATTAGTTTCATTAGACATGTTATGCCGCGATCTTATAGCAGCCTCTTTTGATTCTTTGTGCATTAAAGTTTTCAATAATGCCCTTTTTCGTTTAATTGCGTTGTGAGTGCATCAGTGGGTTGAACGAATTGTTCAAGGGTGTGTATGTCATCACAAATATTTTGTTTAATGTGCTTGTAGTTGTTGCTGAGTTTAGCGCTATATTATTTCGCTAGTTCCTTTATTTTAAGTTTACCCATATCCCACCACATTTGGACGGAGTCAAAGCGACTATTTTCTCTACGCCATAACAACCAGAAGTCATTAAAATATGGCAGTACTCTTCTTCATGGAGTAAACTGGTATTGAAGTGCCATATTAGGTTTCTGTTTGTGACAACTTTAATTTGTATGCATAATTTAACAGGTGCGTGATCAGAGAGGTTACAGTGAGTTTCGATAGAGATACGTTTGATTTTAGATGAGAAACCTTTAGAGATGTAAAAGGTGTCGATGCGAGACTTGCTGTCATTCCCGACCCATGTATAGTTTCGCAAGTTAGAATTAAAATGGCGCCAAGAGTCAATAAGTTTAAAACGCGCAATTATGTTAGATAATAACATAGTTGACTGTACATGTGGTTCAGGGTTTTCAGCTCTGTCTGAGTCGGGGTTAAGGGTGCAGTTAAAATCATCGCCAATGATAGTTGGATCTTGATTAAGGTTTTTCGAGAGTGTTAAAAAATTCAAGCCGGTCCACCCCAACGGTGGGCGCATATACACATTAAACAGATGAACTGGCGAGCCGTGTACCTCTAGATGTATATATAGCAGACGACCCGTTACAACATCAGCCGCCTTTAAAACCTTGATGTTTTTATTTGTATTTTTATTTACCAAAATAGCCACACCAGCAGACTGTGAGTTACCATGGGAAAATAAAATAGATGAACGCCATACAATTTGCCACTGGGCTTCATCGGCTTGAACAGTTACGGTGTGAGTTTCCTGAAAAAAATGAAAATCAATGGAATGGTTTAGTTCAAGGAACTCAAAAAGTTGGTATCGCTTCATTGAATCGCGACAGCCGTGCACATTCCATGTAACAGCAGAAAAACTCATCATTGATGTGAAAAGCAATAAACAAGTGATACGTTGAGATATGTCTGGGGATTTCCGTACCTCATTCAGTGAGCGTGCCAACAATCTGAGATCGGGGCAAAACCGTGTAGCCAATTCAATGAGTTGAGTGATTCAACTAAAAAAGGATTCAGGGCATCACGAGAGAACAGTTTTGCTTTCTCGCTCGAAACGGTAAGTTCCTTGGCCTCGGTATATAGCGTAGAGATTTCAGAACAATATGACATAATCGACTCAGTATCATCCCTGTCCTCAGACAGACCCACAGGGACAAGAGTCTTTGTTGGGTCAAGCGGGTCATTCGACTCACTTGGTAAAAAAGGGGGGGGGGTAAAAGGGTGGGTTTCTACCACCTCCTCATCATTTGCATTTAGCGTTTTCGCACCAGTTAACATTGAGCTATTTACAACAGATTTGCTCACTCTAGTATCGTGTGTGTTTTCATTTTCATTTATTTCGTTATTATCATTTAAATCATTGTCAGTCACATCGTTTTTGTCACGCGCGTTGCCATCATCATCATTGCTATTTAACAATTGGCACCTATTACGTTATTGTCACTTTTATCATTTAAATCAAAGTCAATCACGTCGTTTTTGTCACGCGCGTTGCCATCATCATCATTGCTATTTAACACATTGACACCTATTACGTTATCGTCACCTTTATCATTTAAATCATAGTCAGTCACATCGTTTTTGTCACGCGCTTTGCCATCATCATCATTGCTATTTAACCCATTGACACCTATTACGTTATCGTCACCTTTATCATTTAAATCAGTCAGTCACGTCGTTTTTGTCACGCGCGTTGCCATCATTATTATTGCTATTTAACACATTGACACCTATTACGTTATTGTCACTTTTATCATTTAAATCATAGTCAGTCACATCGTTTTTGTCACGCGCGTTGCCATCATCATCATTGCCATTTAACACATTGACACCTATTACGTTATCGTCACCTTTATCATTTAAAGTATTGTTTCCGTCACTTTCGTTATACTCTACATTTTCGGGCGTGTTGTCAACTTCCATCGTTTGACTATTTTCATCATCATCATTAATGTCGTTTGCTTTATCGGTTTTATCAAAAGGGGGACTGATGTGAGCAATAGTAGATTGATCAACAGGTATTGGTTCAGGGTTGGGGCGGCTTTTACTATTTGGAAGAGGATGATCGCAAACTGAGTCGTCTGAAGTTTGCTGCTGGCTTACTGGGCAGTTTCGCATAATATGTCCCTTTTTTAGACACATGTGACAAACAATATCATCAGTTGACAAGTAGATACGGTATTGTCGCTCCTCATGTGTGACGTTAATGACACCGTCAAGTTTATTATTGTCGCACAACATATACACTTGACGGCAAAAGGATTTGACGTGTTTCAGCTCGGGTTGTTTCAGCTCAAGTGGAATTTAGCGTAAATTGCTAACAACACGGCCATACTTTGACAGATCAGTTTGAATAATGTGATTTGGTATAGGGGGGGGTACACCTGAGAGAGTTACTTTAGTAGCAGTTTAAAAAACATGATGGAAATTTATGCAAATGTATTCAAGGTGACCTCGTTACGACCTCGTATTCAAATCTATTTTATGTATGCAAATGTACTCACAGTATCCCATTGTGACGTCATCCTCATCCAAATGACCCCCTTCACGGCCTTGTACGATCATTTATGCTAATTTATGCACGGATCTCCATTGTGACGTCATCCTAATTCAAATGACCCTCTTCACGGCCATGTACGATCATTTATGCTAATTTATGCACGGATCCCTATTGTGACGTCACCATTTATGCTAATGTATGCGCGGTCCGCTATTGTGACGTCATTCCACCCTGTATGACGCCATCGCATTGATATATGAACGGCGCAATCATGATCGTACCTATAGTTACTTACATTACATAACATATTTGCTAGTCATATTACTAGTGTATTAATTAACACGCATTACATGTTGTTTCAGAGTACTACTTTCTCCGAGTAATTATTGTATTGGGAATAGTGGTAATTACATTTGCCAGTAAGTTAAATGTTTTTAACAATGTACTGCAAAAACTTTGTACATATATGAAAGAATTAAGTATGCGTATTGATAAACATTTGGAACGTTGCTAACAATTGGAAAAAAACTTGTGAGACCTATGGATGTGATGTTTATAAATTTGTAATCTTTGTTGATTATCACCACAATATAATTACAAATTCGAGGATATACACCGTAATATACATACTCTAACGCACAGTATCTTACACAAGATACTATGCCTACTCAAATACACATTATATTAAACAACATAATATGCCTATTCTAGTACACATTATGTTACACAACATAATATGCTTACTCCAATACATATTATATTACACAACATAACATGTACTCATTCATCGACAGCAAACAAGGTAACTAATTATTGATGAAAACATTAATAAGCAGCAATTACAAGTTCTGAACAAATGAGGGTAAAATCACATATTTTTAAAAGCCAAAATGATTGCCTTCTTGGGGACACAATTGCAACATATCAAGATTACAGTTTTACAATTTAAAAGTGAATTAAAAATCCTATATATGCGGCCAATACATCCACTTTCAGGTACACTCTGCTTTTAGAACAATGTAGTAATTGGACTAGACACATTAAGTAATAAAATGATATATAGAACAGTCAGTTGTACATTGATCTATGTAGAGAGAAAGGAAAACCTGCCTACGTACATCTAACAGAGCCATGTTTATGACAAAATCATACTGTACTACAACAATAGCGGTAACCACATATGAATAAATACAATTTCATTATATAAGTTAAATAAAACCTTGGATATGACCAGATATTTGATGTCGTACATATGAATCGACATAGCACTAGCAAATTTTCATGCGATCAAAAACAATGCGAGGAAAGGAATACTTGTGCTGTCTACCAGAGAATTACCACTGATCAAAATGAATTACACGAGTGATAAATGTGAATTTAATTACATAATATGTTTTCAATTTCCAGATTAAAAAATGCAATGTATGTAGGTTCTCATTTATCATATAAATAAAAGCAATAGTAATTTTACAATATTATATATGTAATAACGGATGCCTATAGAATGGAAATCTACAAGATAATACCGTACATTACAATTATTATAGCAATATATTTGACAGTGTCATCATCATATATTATCTTTACCTTTCAAAAGCTGACTCTGAAGTCAGTATTCAGTGCAGTGCCGTACGAATCTGTCACATAATTGCTAAGTCAATGTTTACAGAGTAACAACAACCACCAAGGCTAATGTTAATTATAGACGTATAATTATATTAGCCAGGAAATTGTTTTTCATCATATCTGCGTAGATTTCCGAATTCATATTGATCTAATTTTAGAGGGATATTACTTCAATTGTAGTCGAAAATTGTTAAAATACTGCATTTACATTGAAATCAACATTGAACTATAGTTAGTCTGAATATTAAACCACCAAGTCAATGTATTAACGCATCATTAAATATGAGAAAACACATGAGGCATATAATGAACAGTACAAACACACATATCATTACACAATACGTTCGTGTGTTCTAATGAAGTCAGGTAATTAAGAAATGTAAATACATAAATGTGAATAAGAATAGAGCTGGAACAATTGTTCGATAAACATTGACAAAAATAACTACTGTTTAATGCTAGACATACCCATTCACACTTATACACATAGCTATTCAGTCATTGATGAATGTATGTAATGTTTTACTTTACTCCACTGTCACTTTGATGTAATCTAGCTCATTGTTTCAGAAAATTGCGCAGTATTTGCATACAATTTGAAAACACTGACTTCATCTATTTATGCAGATTTATATTATTTGTGTTAAGTTTAATGCTAGTAGTTGTTGTAGCAGCAGTCGTTCTACTCTGGACCGGTTCACGACAGCCGAATGCATGGATAAATGCTTCACGCCCAGTTGAGCTGATCACATTATACAGAATAGGGTTTACTATCAAACTAGTAATCAGTAACCAACGCGACAAATCGTAAATACAGATAATAGCCATTACGTCAGCGGAGGAGTTACCAGTGATGTTGTAATTTAAGTAGTCGATGAACTTGATGACAGTTGGGGTCATGCACAGAAAGAAGACTGTGGTGATGGACACGGCGGTTACCAATATCTGTCTCTCGTCTGACCTTCGTACGATTCCATGGTCTGACTCTAACTGCCGGACGAACTTTCGGAAGCTCCTCGCTGTACTGAAGTACATAACTGGTAATACCAACAATGCAATGGAAAATAAAATGATATACAATGCGTATGTAACGTTTTGTGCTTGCTTTCTTGTATTGCCAACTGCAAAGCACTCAATGATTCGTGGTATGCTGAATAAGACACCTAACAACCACGAGAGCACTACCATTGTGGTTGCTCGTTTTTTGGTGAGACTATTGCGAAATCGCAGTGGGTAGCAAATGCCAACGTGTCTCTCTATGCTGATAATTATCACTGTTATTAGAATTGTAAAAAATAAGAGATTTTGGAAGATAGTCATGTAGCATATGAAACCAACGTTTTTAACAATATACATGCCTCCGGTGATCACAAACACATAGTACACCAACACGGAGATGAGTAGTAACAGGTCGGCGACAGCCAGATTCACAAGATATATGTTTGCAGTAGTCTTCATGGAAGGAATTCGACGTAAAACGTAAATGAACAAAATGTTAAGTATAATACCGATTACGGCTATACCTGTAGCTACTTTGAAGTAAACATCGCTGGGTGCCAAACACACAAGACTATCCTTTTGGATATCAGTTATATTATGCTGCACTTCCATTGCAAACATGGAGTTGTTCAGGGTAACTGTAGTCATCTGTACAGCTCTGTTGCGCTCAATGAAGTCAAGTATGCATGTTCAACGATACTACATGTATTTCCCTGTGGAATATTATAATTATATTTATTACTTCAGCATTCCAGTCAGGGCTAATTTAAATTCACTGATGTATCACGTGCTTAAGTGTTCATGCATGTGCATGGAAGCCATGCTTTAATATCCACACGATGGCACATTGAATTCAATATTCATTGATTATTACAAATTATCAATACTTTACACATAAGTAAGTGAATGTGCGCAATGGCGGCTATTTCTGAAACAAAATGTCTTTATTTATACGTTAAGAATATATTCAGTATGACATCTCCATATATTTAATTATTTCGCTAATCATATGCTAATATTTGCGAAATGAGTTATGTGTCTCTGTACATACCTACAACAATTAATACCATCGATAAGTAGAAAATTTGTAGGCTAATACTTTTGGTAAAATACATTTGGTAAAATTACCGATAAAAGCATGAATAAAATACATCAACGTAATATGAGTATATCTTATGCTTCATCGGGCTTTCAACGTGGTGTTTTACCAATATAGTTATTTGCACATGATTCATATTATGGTTTATACCGCGGTGTTTACAAATATAGTTAATCGTGCATGGTTCATAACGTGGTGTTTTACCAATATAGTTAATCGTGCATGGTTCATAACGTAGTGTTTTACAAATATAGTTAATCGTACATGATTCATAACGTGGTGTTTTACCAATATAGTTAATCGTACATGATTCATAACGTGGTGTTTTACAAATATAGTTAATCGTACATAGTTCATATTATGGTTTATATCGCGGAGTTTTACCAATATAGTTAATCGTACATGATTCATAACGTGGTGTTTTACCAATATAGTTAATCGTGCATGGTTCATAACGTGGTGTTTTACCAATATAGTTAATCGTGCATGATTCATAACGTGGTGTTTTACCCATATAGTTGATCGTACATGATTCATAACGTGGTGTTTTACCCACATAGTTAATCGTACATGATTCATAACGTGGTGTTTTACAAATATAGTTAATCGTACATAGTTCATATTATGGTTTATATCGCGGAGTTTTACCAATATAGTTAATCGTACATGATTCATAACGTGGTGTTTTACCAATATAGTTAATCGTGCATGGTTCATAACGTGGTGTTTTACCCATATAGTTAATCGTACATGATTCATAACGTGGTGTTTTACCCATATAGTTTATCGCAAATGATTCATAACGTGGTGTTTTACCCATATAGTTAATCGCACATGATTCATAACGTGGTGTTTTACCCATATAGTTAATCGCACATGATTCATAACGTGGTGTTTTACCAATATAGTTAATCGCACATGATTCATAACGTGGTGTTTTACAAATATAGTTAATCGCACATGATTCATAACGTGGTGTTTTACCAATATAGTTAATCGTGCATGGTTCATAACGTGGTGTTTTACCCATATAGTTAATCGCACATGATTCATAACGTGGTGTTTTACCCATATAGTTAATCGCACATGATTCATAACGTAGTGTTTTACCCATATAGTTAATCGCACATGATTCATAACGTGGTGTTTTACAAATATAATTAATCTTGCATGATTCATAACGTGGTGTTTTACCCATATAGTTAATCGTACATGATTCATAACGTGGTGTTTTACCCATATAGTTTATCGCACATGATTCATAACGTGGTGTTTTACCCATATAGTTAATCGCACATGATTCATAGCGTGGTGTTTTACCCATATAGTTAATCGCACATGATTCATAACGTGGTGTTTTACCAATATAGTTAATCGCACATGATTCATAACGTGGTGTTTTACCAATATAGTTAATCGTGCATGGTTCATAACGTGGTGTTTTACCCATATAGTTAATCGCACATGATTCATAACGTGGTGTTTTACCCATATAGTTAATCGCACATGATTCATAACGTAGTGTTTTACCCATATAGTTAATCGCACATGATTCATAACGTGGTGTTTTACAAATATAATTAATCTTGCATGATTCATAACGTGGTGTTTTACCAATATAGTTAATCGTGCATGGTTCATAACGTGGTTTTTTACCAATATAGTTAATGGTACATGATTCATAACGTGGTGTTTTACCCATATAGTTAATCGTACATGATTCATAACGTGGTGTTTTACCCATATAGTTAATCGTACATGATTCATAACGTGGTGTTTTACAAATATAGTTAATCTTGCATGATTCATAACGTGGTGTTTTACCCATATAGTTAATCGTACATGATTCATAACGTGGTGTTTTACCCATATAGTTAATCGTACATGATTCATAACGTGGTGTTTTACCCATATAGTTAATCGCACATGATTCATAACGTGGTGTTTTACCCATATGGTTAATCTTACATGATTCATAACGTGGTGTTTTACCCATATAGTTAATCGTACATGATTCATAGTGGTGTTTTATAAATATAGTTAATCGTACATGATTCATAACGTGGTGTTTTACCCATATAGTTAATCGTACATGATTCATAACATGGTGTTTTACAAATATAGTTAATCGTGCATGATTCATAACGTGGTGTTTGCCACAGAAGATTTGATGGAGGAGATATGGATATTTTCGCAAAAGACTACCTACTCGCCAGTGGAGGGAAGAACAACGTAACGATATCCTGTCTTTTCACGAATGTTCGTGGAGGTTCCACTGGTAACAACAGCAATTATGTTCTAAATGTTGTGGAACAGGATGTTGAGGATACATTGCAGAATGTTGGCATATCTAAAAATGCTCATCTTTGACTTTTGGGAGTTAACTTATGGTAGGGAAACAGTGTTGTTAGCGGGCGAGACAAAACAGACCTAATTACCCTATGCGTGCCCAAGAATCCGGCACGGATAGCACTTCAGTTGCCTAATGTTTGGTTGATTTTACGTTGCGTATATTGTTATCCCTGTGCATAATATATGTCTATATATATTTTATGAACGTGTCCCCTAGCGTCTGTGTATGAACTGGTCTATGTAGCAAACTATCGTAACACTCATTTGTATATTGTGAGTCAGCCATGACGTGCGCTGCCCATTGACCAGAAGTACACCATTTTCAAACTATTGCGGTATACAAATTTCTTCTTTACTCCATATTATTTGTATATTATTTGTTATTTTCGTAAAAGCACATTTTTTGTTACAAATTTAAAATTAAAATAATGCATGTATACAAGAATATAAAAACAATCGTTTTTGGCAAATGACACGTCAAAGGACAAGTGCCACGCCCACTCCACCTCTCCCTCGGCGCGCCCTGTTTAATTTTTAAACCGTAGAAAACGCTGCCATAAATATCTATGAAGTTATGTTCATGCGGTAGCTACAACTAGAATGAAAATACGTTTTTTCTATTTTTACAAACATATAGAAGTGTACATGCTGTCTGCTACAATAGCCGTATATCTTAATTAAATCATAATCTTTCTAATTGAAGAATTTCAGTTTGACGAGATCGCGCGTAGAGGGATTTCACAATGTCATGATAACGGATACTCTATTTTCATTACTGACAACGCAGTCATAGCATGCTGTTTTTATTACCGTTTTTAACTATTTATAATTTAAGCATTATGTTTTATTCAGAATCGACTTGTTATAACAATATAAACAATCCTATTATAATTAACAATAAAATATCAGATTAGAATGTTTGCTGTGAAATAATATTAAACTCCTTTTAAATATAATTTACAGTCGTGACTTACCTTTCCATCTCATTATCGTTTCTAAGCAGATGATAACCCTGCGACGCATACCGGGACTTCACACAGATCTCACAGTACGTACGAAATGGTATATTTGTCAGACTACTGCATTTGTTGGAAACAATGCACTGGCATGCGTTTTATTAGTTTTATTCTGTACTTGTCTGGTAGACCTGATACATGGTCGTACTCGTACAAATAGATGTAACGTTTGTTCAACAGTTTCGTCAGTTTTGTTTGTATTGCGCTCATGTTTTATGTGTTACAAATGCGTTACTAGTACGCTAATGTTTACGTGCATTGAATATGCAATCATTGTGCGTTTTTCCGTGTTAAGGTAGAGATGCAGTTTACCTGACAGGTATTTTAATTAGGTATTCAGGAAACCAAGATGACCCCCCTTGTCCACAAAACTGTATATATCCGAAAAGCTTATTGTATGAATTTTATAGTATTTTTTATGGACACTGTAGTTTGAAAATATGCACAAAAATGTGCTTTTTTGGTCAAAAGTGATTTTAAAAAAATAGCTTCTAAACCATGCTTCTGTTTCCTGTCAAAATTGGTTTATGGGTACATCTGTTTACTATGAACAAAGTGCCGTCTTGAAAACTGTCTACCAGTTGTCAATTTTGCAGGGCAGCAGCTCAAATTTCACTATTTCAAATTTATGCATAAATTAACACCCAGGCTAGTTGTCTGTACGATTGTTGTAACATTGTTCAACCAAAAACAATACCCCGACGGCGTTTTGAAGATGAACACATTGTCAATCATTTGTGAAAATTTCAAAACAAAGGGTCAAAGCGTCTAGGAGCTATTTTTTAAAAAGTTCTGGGATGTGCACTAAAAAGAAGCTGAAATAATTGCTAATTTGCATAACAATTTACTCAGTAAGAAGTTTGCTAATGCTCATAATTATAATAGCTGTAACAGTTCCAAATTTAAATGTATTATCGTTTTGTTAAAAGTGAAATATAGTGCATAATATGGAGATCCCGTCATTTCTTTTTTTTCACCATGTTTCTTTTTTATTATTCTACAAAATTTTAATTTTACAAAAGTCTATAGCCAAGACTGTTTGGATAATGAAAAGCAAAAAAAAAAAATTCACTCCAACCTGCATCTCTGCCTTAAGAGCCTCATATACACTGACCACAAAAGCATTATGCATCAACCAAAAGTGTTTTCGCCACTGGATAACTTTGTTTTATATGTTAGACGTCAGTTAACGCTATACGGTGTAGTATGACAGCTACATAATCATAAAGTTGTATTTGGTTCAGACACAGATACTCTATTAACAGCTGTCTATATACCGTCAGAAAATTCCCAGACGTACTGTTGAAACTATGTAGGAAATTATATTTGCATATTGCGAAGGTCTTTTTTCCTGGGGTTTTCACTCATTCCAACCCACCCCAAAATAAACCTGAAAGTGTAATGAAAACAACACTCCGATGTCGTTTCAACAAGAAATCTCCGAGTCTTGAATTATTCATTGATCAATTTTGTAAATTTCTACTCGATGTATGTGATAACTAAAGTGATTTATCAGCCTTTGGTGAATGTGATCGATTTCCTCTTTATGTTTTTCTCTTAGCTACTGCCTAAGATTATTACAAAAGGATGTTGATAGATATCCTCATAACGATAATTCAATGGTACAACAGATTATCGGTTCAACGTGTTATAACGTCGACGATGTATGACTGAACTAAGGCGAGGGGTCAAAAATGTATTTCATTCACAGTTCACACAAAGAATAAAGCGACGATGAGACTGATTTCTCTCTCAAACTCCGTTCTTATCACAATTTTAAGTTGTCACTTGATCAAGAAAATATTTGTCTTGCATTCATGTTTTCAAATTTAGAGCTACGCTGTTCATCTTACAATTTACTTTGTTGAACGCAGTCAATTTTATATTGAGGACGAATATCATTTTATAGCTATTTTAACCGTATTAGAGCAGAATTTCAGCATGCGTATTTTTGCACTAATCCCACAACAAATTTATCTCGATTATGAGTTCAAGAAACGATGCTAATTAAAACCGGTTAATTAGTTTTGTTTATTTTGCCATGAATAGCAGAACTTGAATGTATTTCATTGTTACCATTGCATGGATGGACTAAACGCTGTTAAATTAAATTGTATTTGCTCTTTGGGTCAATGGCCTTTTGCTTTGCAATAAACAATACACATTATGGTCCATAATTCCACGTATTTTTCATTCATGTACAATATGATATTTTGCCTAGTATATGATATAAGTCAAATATCTGGTATTTTATTGACCAATGAAATTCACTGGACATTTTTTTCGAGGCTAATCAAAATTAGTAAATTGTCTATGTATAAAATAAATATTTGAGACTACGCATACCTTGTGTGAGTGATTTATTTACATGCACATGTAATTAATAACATTAAACTCATTTATATTACTTCAATGTGACACATGGTCACAGTAGCACGAAATCTAATTATAACATTTTTTTCCCAATTCTGGGCGCCCGTAAATAATCGACAACGCATCTTTAATATTTTGCTATATAGAAACACATTTTAAATAATTCGATATATTGTTTGACCCCAGTATTATTTTTTGCTCTAGGGGTCAATAAATAACAGCGTTATGTTTTAATATAAAATTGTATACCGGAGAGATTGTTTATTACTATATTATCAACTTATTTTTGGTCTCTTAGACCAGCAGGTTAAAACATTAATGGCACCGTCTTCTAAACGTTCAAATCCATTTTTCTGGAACTTGCTGAGATTTTCATAAGTACATAAATTAGCAAATTTGCACATCACTTAGCCTGTGTTCCACTGTATCACCAGCACTTCTCTGAAACGTAGTATAAATGCAGCATGGGTAGGAGATTTAGAATCACTGTTTTGATTTAATCTGCGATTCATCCTGTGTTCAAATGTTTTACATTTTCTTAGAAATATCGATTTGTATTAAGTATCACTTTGAATGTTCTTTAAATAAAGTTTAAATATAGACACAGTGACGTAGATGGGTGGAATACGTGTTTTGTCACAAGTTATCATATTATCATATTTGTTGGTTTTAACAACGATAGAGGAATGCCAATCAAGGTTTTAGTTACACGGCACCAGGAAACGTGTTTCAAGTCAATATGAGTTTTCTGTGCATGATGCTGGTTTGGCTTGATAATCTGCTATTAACACTTGATAATCTGCTATTAACACTTGATAATCTGCTACTAACACTTGATAATCTGCTACTAACACTTGATAATCTGCTACTAACACTTGATAATCTGCTATTAGCACTTGATAATCTGCTATTAACACTTGATAATCTGCTACTAACACTTGATAATCTGCTACTAACACTTGATAATCTGCTATTAACACTTGATAATCTGCTATTAACACTTGATAATCTGCTACTAACACTTGATAATCTGCTACTAACACTTGATAATCTGCTACTAACACTTGATAATCTGATACTACTCGATGGAGTAATTATTGTGGGTTCATCAGTTTCTAATGAAGAATGAACAATGAATTAAATGGTTAAAGTTGATGCTATTATAAGTTATTGGGATATAGTATTTCATCCTATGTTTCCTTGCATTGATTCTGTGCCTGTCTCCATTTCTATTTCTGAAAAATAGTTGATATTTTTAATGTTTCCATAGACGTCCATTCCTGGGCATTCTTATAAGTAAAAGGGGTAATCAAACTGGATTTTATACATTTCATACTTTAAGTTTCTCTTGATGACTTGTCCCTTCAGAACACATATATTAGTTTGGGAGTTATTATTTGATCAACCCTTTTTATAGCAAAGAAATACTCCTTCATGTATGTTATAAATCGAAATCGTATTGCTGCACATGCGTCCCTGTACAATTCGCCTTTCAATATGTCCTGTGGCTTTATTTGCCTTATTAAATACACTGTTCAGTGATGATTTTAAAATATTGGGTAATTCTGTAGAATATTAGTATTGCTCCACTACCAATATTATACAACCCCACGGTCGACTTCACCACATTAAGATATTTCCACCATAATACACCCCAAACAAACTTACCCATGCCAATTTTTCTTTCTTTTCTTCATTAGGGATGCGAAGATTAATTCTGCCCTATTAACACCGTTGCTCTTCAATGTGATATGGTCGTACACAATTTTGTGTGTAATTGACCATTGGGATTGGGGTGGTATAATATAATTTCATTCATTGTTATCGTATAATTTTGCGAATTAAACCAAATATCCAAGAAACTCTTTACCATGATCACTCTACAATCGATTGGGCGGACTGTGTATAATGTATATCTTAGACCGGTCTTTCTAGACAGTGGTGCCATCCACAAATACCTACTAAATACATCTAAGAGATATAATACATACCTTTATATTGAACAGCATTCAAAGTGAAATCAATTAGATCATGTTGGTGTTGAGAGTGAACGTGAAATTGCTTTGTACAAGGATCTGCCGTTATGAATCAGAAAAGTTTCATAAGTTGTAGTAATTTGCCTGATTTACATTCATGGAATAATAGAGAGTTGGTGTCTTCTGGACAAATGCTGAACAGATACTTTCTACGCCAGAACTGTATGAAGACACTATTTTGTACTCGTGAATGATGACTTACCAGAACATGGACAATTTCTTGGATCAAATGCAGAAGAAAGTCATATGTGTTGTTGTCAAGCACGTGAAAGAAATGGTCCTTCTTCTTTGTTTGTTTTGACAGCGCCACCAGGAATATAAAGGTGTGTTACACATAGTTTGGATGAACTGGACATCGTATTAAAGATGACATTACCTTGCTTGCGCTTGGGCTAAACAATTTAGGAAATAACATTTACAAGAACGCAACTATTCAAGGGCGTGGTCGAAGTTCACAGTTATTGTAATAATTATTGAGAATGACAATTTATTTTTTTCTTAATAGCATTAAAAACAAGATGGCATACCAAAAAGCATGACCCAATATTATCAAGTCTACAGTAAGTATGAATACATAGAAGGTATTACTGGATCCAATACTAGTTGGGTATGATGTACATAATGTAATGCAAAGTAACAGTAGCCAAAAGTACTGAAGCTGGTGGCTCATTCACATTATGAGGTTGTCGTTCAGTCTACACCATAGCAAGTGTGGGTGTTATCGCATTTTATAATCATATTCTGCTGTATTCCCGATCAGAATACCCCGACAAAAACAAGACGCTAAATTGCCACTTTTGATCAGATTAAGTCCAGAACAAAGATTTTAAGAAAATTAACAAGACTGTTTTTGTACTAATCATTATGATTATACATGAAATAAAACACCGAGATAAAAAAAATACTGTCAAGTGTTAGTCACACTCTCGACAACACATTAATGTAAATACTTTTAAATTGTTATCTGGATAACAAATCATTTTAATTGTTCCTCACTTCCCGAGTAATTTGCTTATGAACAAATCACTGTCAATGACATAGTCCCCGTTTGTAAGATAGATGCGAGTTATCAAATGACTTGGATCATACTATTCCGATGTTAACATATATTCAATTTGGTTTTATAATCAGTGTTGATACAAATACCTAGCTCTATAAAATCTACTTAATTTACTGAAATCTATCAATTTGAAAGTGGGAGTATATATACCAAGATGGTTGGTTAATAAATAAAATAATTATGAATCGTAATAATAAGTATTCAAAGCATTATGTAACCACAATAAATATAATTATAATACACATAATATTCGTAAAAAAAGACTAGAAAAAGATGGCACGAGAGTTAATACAAAATGCATCTACCCTCTATTACATTTTGCATCAGTCATTGTTTGGGTGCAAAACGCGTCAAGGCTTGTTACATAGTGAGTAATTTATTACAAAACGCGTTGGTATTACTAAACGCCCCCGTACACCCCGCAACCTTGCCAGTCACCTTGTAGTTGACATAGTACTTTACAAGAAATTCGTAAATATTTAACATTCGCTGATATTTTGAGTCAATAATTTGGCAAAGTAAATTATTTGATGTTTGACACTGACCCAACATTAATATTTGCATATTAGCAATAATAACGAATACGCGTTCTGAAGTAGGCATATTATGCTGTACGCCACTCTTGACTGCTTCTTTTCATGATCGTCCTATTTTTTGTGGCTCTCGCGATTTTTGTGGTGTTACTGCTGCTACATATATATTATAAAGAGGTTGTGCGCGGCTACTGCCGGAAGTAATTTGTGGTATTTCTCGAACACCATTGGCGATCGAAAATGCAAATGCGCGTCCACCAACGCGTTTTAGACACGCGCGTTGGATAAAAGGGTTATTCCCCGGTATAACATTCGCGGAGCTGGTTGAAACCCGCGTACTGCTGTATTGTAAACTCACTTTCTGTTTGTTACGCAATGACTTTACTTACGTTTTATCTATTTCCACGGTCGACTTGCAATGAATAAATTGAATATCCTGAACCCATATATACAATAGTGGGAATAACATGGTGTCCAATTGACGTCCTATTTCATATCATGTTAAGGGGAATTTACAAGTGCACTACCACAAACATAACTGAATTATAAATCTCCAATCAATTTGATAGTATAAGTTGCAGCTAGTCAGTGCACTCGGCACAAAGAAAGAAACAAACGAAGACGTACTAATTTTCATATCCAAAAAAAACTTTATAGATACTCTCCTGACGATTAATTTTAATGATGTCGACAAGTAATGAATACTGTTCTGTAATGATCAAAGGTCAAACGTATCGTACAAATCATACATCAAATTTTCCAATGTGTATATTAAAAATCAATATATATTAAAATATATCGCTCACAATACAACAGTCAATGCATTAACATAAATAAGAAAAAGTAAATTATGTACATCATATTCTTCTTGTTATTGCCTGAAATGAATTATTTTCTCCTTAACATTATTTAAACTCATATCAAAGAGAGAAACAAAGTTCAGCGACATTATTATTAGTTGTGTTATTATTAGAACGAATGCGTCTGTTTTGTGGGTGGTCATACAAATACAGTGGCGTTTCTTAGTATATGTTAGCATTCAAGACTAATTTGCTAAATATAATAAACAGAATAAAATGGTGCTTCATGGTCAGTACACGAGTTTATTGGGATGTGAGCGCCAGTATTACACAGTATGTACAGTTTATTTGATTACAATTGCAGCAGTAAAATGCAATTTTCCTCACCATTATTCATCATAACATCGCAGTGGCTATTCATACGTATGATTTTGTACCTGCCATTAATGTTTCCAAGTTGACAAGATTTATAGTCATCAATTCAGCAACTGCTTGGCAAGTTGAATATGTAAGGCTGACGACAAAACGACAAATAGCACGATTCATTTAGATTATTGTTGGCTCCTGGACCAACTTGTAAATGTCATCATTATTTCTAAGCAATTCGTTGAAACAATAGTAATAATAATAATTGGGTTTTATGCAGCTGTCATTTGATTTATTAAAACTCTTAAAATGTGGAAATCAATATTGAATAGCAGCATTGAATATTATAGTCTACCACAATAAACCAACAAAAAACTTCCAAATATGAATTGGTGCCATGATCACCTTTAAATCGACCAATCAAATAATTGTTTTCAATAATTTATTTCACATACCAGTTTCTTACTCAGAACCAACTCATGGTAGATTAATATTTTCTACTAAGTTACAAACATCGTGTCTGTTCAGTTTATGTATTCATATATTCAACGGCTCACACCTATAATACAGTGAGTACATACGTAAAAAACTTAAAATATGACCAAATAGATAATAACATGCTTATAATTGTGTTTCATATAGTCTATTTACTAAATACACGACATGTCAATTCTTTTCATACAAACACAATACATAGATTAGCAGCAACGCATTATGTCAATACACGGATATATATATGGTAATTAAGGAAATAACATGGGTGAATATCTAATATTTTATTCAGTGTGAGTGTCCAAATCAACGGATGTATTCTCTGATAACTTTTCTGAAAAGCAATAATTATCATTGCCATCAATATAGGTAATTATTGCTTTAGATTTATGGTTGGCAAAGCAGACATGTAATTTAATATGCATGTACTCATGTTAATTTGCATATAAATTAAGTCTTTCAATCCTGAGTACAATTTACATAGGGACCCACAGAGACTACAATATCCCAAGGTATTTCATATTGTGACATGATAGTGTTTTATGGGGTTATTATCAGAATACCGAACAAATATTGACAAAGACAGCGATCGTATCGACTGACGCATACGGGATGTCGATTCAATACCCTACTGCAGGAGTTCATAGTTTGAGGTATTCTCACGGTAACCTTACTTTTACATATTTCGTCTCACTTGTTGTGACAAATATGTGAAATGCCATCGAAAGGTATTCTCTTCTTTGTGGTCGTCTAGATTTCAGTAATGCCCATCGATATAAACAGAAAATGTTTGAATGTAACGTAAATATGGCGCACATTTTCGTGACGCGGTACCGCGTTTTACGGCCGCATGATTTATAAAGCTTGTTGACGGCAAATGTATAATAATGCATCATATGCACAATTGGGACATCTCTTAACGTTACATGACAGGGGGCAGACGGGCGACCCCTCGAAAAAAAATTGTGGGTAGGGCGTCGTCCCTCTAAAATCAAGCTGAAACCCTTTGTGTCAGCAAAATGTAGGAAATAGCGTTGCAGAGGGTCTAGATTTCAGAGATTCTAGAGTACGGGCGAGCCTTCGTTGCGAGAGATGGTGAGCAGATGTCGCACCTCCATGCAAAATGTGGTGCCGCCGCCTCTGTACAGGACTCAGCTATGAACTACAGAACAAATAGTTTTCCACACCACTATGAAGTGAGCGCTCGTTTGCAGAGTCTGTGAGCGGACAATACCCCAAATTTAAGGTATAACCAAGGAACCTCTCGTAATGAATTGATCTGTAATTAAAATATTCTCTGTCCGTTACCTGACTTGTTTTCATAGCAATGAATAGATTTTAAGAACACTTGGGTTTAAAATATATTTTATTTCTACACTAAACAGAATATTCGCTAGAGAATCCCGTGAAAGAAAGTAATTTCACTCACATTACGTATGCTAAACCTTGGTTGCTACAATACCCACAGGTGTTTTGGAAAGGGATGCACTAAATATATAATACTGAGTACATAATACCACTCATGTGAAAAAATGCATTCACCGTATGTACATGTACTTACATAATATGCACGATTCAATTTCCAAAATAAATTTAAACCAACAGAGCG